CCATAGACTAAGGGAATGATATCTGTGTGTATATATCAAAAGACAGGAAAAGTGGTGGTGATTAATTGGGATGTATTGGAAAGTGTGGGGACCTGGGCATGACGTAGATGGTATAGAATAAGGGGTGGATACTGTCCTGGTTTCAGCTGGGGTAGAGTTAATTTTCTTCCTAGTAGCTGGCACAGTGCTGTGGTTTGGATTTAGGATGAGAATAATGTTGATAACACACCGATGTTTTAGTTGTTGCTAAGTAGTGTTCAAACTAGTCAAGGACTTGTCAGCTTCTCCCACCCTGCCAGTGAGAAGCTGCGACAGGGCACAGCCAGGACAGCTGACCCAAACTGGCCAAAGGGATATTCCATACCATGTGACATCATGCTCAGTATATAAACTGGGGGAGTTGGGCCGGGGAGCGGTCAGGGGGTGGCGATCGCTGCTCGGGGACTGGCTGGGCATCAGCTGGTGGCTGGGGAGCAATTGCATTGTGCATCACTTATTTTGTATATTATTTTATCATTATTAGTATTATTATTTTCCCTTCCTTTTCTGTCCTATTAAACTGTCTTTATTTCAACCCACTAATTTCACTTTTTTTTCTCCCCCCCAATTCTCTACCCCATCCCACTGGGGGCAGGGGGGAGTGAGCGAACAGCTGTGTGGTGTTTAGCTGCCTGCCGGGTCAAACCACAACAATAACCTATTGGACTGTGCTTTGATTCCTACCCCCACCCCCTGCAAGATCTCTCTCCAGTAGAAACCAGACAGCTGTAGAGGAGAGAAGGAAAACAGCAGCAAGCTTTAGGTTTTGTCCTTAGTATGAGGAAACGGCTTGGGCACCCACCAGCACCCAGGAAGCACACCTGCTCTCCCACAGCACTGACACAACCAGCAAGGAACCCATTCAGAAGCCAGTGGGGATGCAGAGAAAAACAGAGGGTTCAAAATGCTAAACTTCTAAGTATAATCACCTTGTAGAAAAAGAGGACAAACCATTATATGAGTCACATAATTCACAAACTATTATTTCCGTATGTATGGACAAAACAGGTTTTCTTTGAAAGTGTTCATGACATTCTTCCTTGTTAAAACTCACCAAGAGCAATTCCATAATTCTATGTATGGACCTCATTCAAAGATACCAAAATGGCATTCTTACATTATCACTTCAAGAATGTGCAATATACCTCATGTTTCAACTTGGCTCCTACTTAGGTTTCTGATGACTGTTCTTCTCCTGGCTCTGAGCTTCTGCGAGGCATTTCCAGCCTCTAGCGAGCCTGCAGAAGGAACAACAAGAAAGTACTGCGCATGTCTGAAAGCATAAGACTGCACACAGATCACGCATGCTGAAATGCCAATAGAAAAAGCTGTTACGAGTGGCCTTATTTGCCAACCATGGGGTTCATGCAAATACAGCACCGGAAATGGCTGTCCAAAGTTAAACAACCGTGCAGTGACTTTTACAAGTATACATGAAAGCACATTTTACAACTGCAGTCCTACTCTGAAAAAAACACAAGTTTCCCCCACGCACAGTCAGTTGATGAGAAAAATGAAAATAATAAGTTTAAAATATAATTATAATCCATGGTTTAACTGCTTCAATTCTGCATCTGAAAGCTTCTAGTAAAGATATATATCTATCTTATAAAAATCTTTTAAGACATTTATTTTCCAATTATGACCTCTTTGACCAACTGTCAAAGAAAGCACAAAGATTACTTTTATGTAAATGTACCTTTTCTGAAAAGTACACATTTCATAGGATCCACTGCTCACTGACTGGAACACAGGGCTGTGAAACAGACGCCATCTTCTTAAGCGGAGGGAACCCTAGAAATTCAGCTATTTTAAACCACTCTTCTGTGTAAATTCTGAAAAGGCAGTAAATCAGTAGAGGCATGTGAAATCAGCATGCCTAACACTTTTCCATTTTATCAAATGAAAGTAGCACGTTTTATTGCACATCAACTACAGCAATTTTATTAAAACTCCTCTTATTTCCTTAACTACAAGATCCTTAGCCATGTCCGTTTCTTCTCAGAATCTCTCCCTCTCCTTAAATGCCTGCCTTCTGTAGTTTTACTTGCCATATGCCAAGCTCTTTGACACCTTTTTTTTTTGGCCTTATGTGTGACCCAACATCTCTTATCAGACAAGGAGATTGCTATCAAAGGTGCAGTTTTCAGAATGGAAAGTGCCAGTAACTGGAGTGCCAGTTACCAGCTGCAATTCCTCCAGCTTTGTGAATTGCACTTAATTATTAATGTCTAATCGACATCAGCAGTAGTAACAGAAATCAAATCAACAAAATCTGCTTGCTGGCTGGTAAAAAAAAAAGATACTGTGTTTATCAAAACATGTTATCAAAGAAGAATAGGAATGTTACTCGAGCAATCAAGCCTGCTGTTAAACTTCACCGTGGGGAAAACGATCTGTTCTGAAACAGCAGTTGGTACATACACCTGTAAAACCTGTTCCGTCACACCTTTTGGGCCTTCAGCCGGATGCCTGTCCAACTCATTTGCTCTAGAAAACATTGACCTTTGGAACTTCGAATGTTCTGGTATCATACCAGTTCCCCAAATACCGAGGTATTTCTATTGGAGTCACTGGCTTTGACTTCATCACGAACAAACCATCCCGGTGCTGCGGAACGGACCGTGGCCTGCTTCGCCCGCAGGCGACTCGGCGGGAGGACGCGCTCCAGAAGGCGACAGGGGAGCCGGGACAGACGTCGTGCCCGCACGCCGGACTGAACCGACATCTCTC